TAGATATATGTATGTATAGAGACAGGTAGATTGATAGATAAATAATTTATGCTCTCCTCTGTATGTTTATTTATTCAACCCACATTTATTTAGTGCCTCCATGTGGCAGACACTGTTTCAGGTGCTTAGGAATATTTCAATAAACAAAACAATGTTCTCTGCTCTCATGGAGCTTACATTATAGTGGGACAAGATCAATAATAATAAATACAGCAATAAATTAGATCTTATATTAGAAAGTGATGTCTATGGGAAAAAATAAGGTAGGGTAGTTAAGGAAGACAAGGAGTACTAGAATGAAGTCTCATTGTTAAAATGAGATTTTTATGAAAGACTGGAAGGTGAAGCGGTAAACCGTGAATGCATCAGGAAGGCAGCGGGAGCAAGAGTGAAAAGCCTTAAATTAGGAACCTGACTGGTATCGTAGGGAAGAGCAAGGCGGCCAGTACGGAGTAGAGTGAGCAGCAGGAGGAGAAGTTGGAGAGGAAGTTAGAGAGGTACCTGGGCTAGATCATGTAGGTCCTTGCAGCTGCTACGAAGTTTGTGGCTTTTCATCTGAGGATAATAGGAAGACATTGTAGGCTCTGGGGCCAAGAAGTTACGTGATCTGACTTAGGTCTTGGAAGTGTCGCTCTGACCGCGGTGTTGAGAGTACACAGAAGGGTGGAAGGAGGAAGACCATTTAGGAGGCTTATGGCCATAATCCAGGTAAGAGCTGTGGGACTGGGCCAGCGGCAGCAGAGCAGGTGGTGAGGAGTAACTGGGTTCTAGACATATTATAAAGGTGGAGCCAACAAAATACCCTGACAGAGTGAGTGTAGGGTGTGAGAGAAAGTAAAGAATCAAGGATTGTCAATGTTTTTGATCTGAGCAAGCAGAAGTATGAAGTTGCCAGTAACTGAAGTGAAGAAGACTGAGATTTTTTTTCTTTTTTCTTTTTGGAAACACAAATGTATAGCTTGCAATTAAAAAGTTTACAAAACAGGGGCTAGCCTGGGGGCATAGTGGTTAAGTTCGTGTACTCTGCTTTGGTGGCCCAGGGTTCATGGCTTTGGGTCCTGGGTGCAGACATACACGCCGCTCATCAAGCCATGTTGTGGCGATGTCCCACATACAAAATAGAGGAAGATAGGCACGGATATTAGCTCAGGGACAATCTTCCTCAAGCAAAAAGAGGAGTATTGACAACAGATGTTAGGTCAGGGCCAATCTTCCTCACGAAAAAAAAAAGTTTACTAAATAGCACATATAATATTATAGATTTTTGTACAATTATAAATGTACATATAAACAAACTTAGGGAGATGTATGAAAAGATGGTCTTAAAAAATGGTTATGTTGGAAGGTTCCTCAAGTATCATTATGAAGTAAAAATGGTGCAGAATAGTGAGTACAGCAGGCTTATGGGTCAACAACAAGGTCGGGGAGAAGCCAGATATATTTGTGTGTGTTTGTGCATGAAATACCTTTGTTAATTTTCTTCAAAATTGGTATCATTAATTGCTTCTAGGAAGGGAAACTTCCTTCCTTGAAAGGGAACAGGAGTAAAAGGGTTGTTTTTCTGCGTATTATTGTGTACCTGATCAACATTGAACCATGTGCTTGTATTATCTGTTCAGAACTAATTAGTTAATTAATTAACATGTAAAAATCTAGTGTCTACTGCTGGTGGAAATGAAAGGAAGAGTGTATTCTCATATTGTTACAGAAATGTGAATTATACAGCATTTTTTGGTAACGCAGTGTGACAACATCAGTTAAAAATAAAAGTACGTATACACATACTCCAACTCAGTAATTCCACTACTTGGGATCTACACATATTTGAGAAATTAGAATACCAGTAAGTAAGAATATAGTCAAAGAATATTTGTTGTAGTATTGAAAATAAGAAGGTTGCTTGTATGTAAGAAAGACAAAGTGTGGGAAAGTCTCTATCATCCCATTTTTGCAAAACCATCCATTCCCACTCATGTATGTATGTGTGTGTGAGTGTATGTAGTCCATGTTTATATGTGTTTGCACATGGTGAGATGAGCATGAAGGCTATGTTAATTGTGAAGGGGAGACTAGAATAGTGGCTGCAGTGTGGACTGCCTAGGTTCAAGTGTGTCCCTGCCCTTCACCACCTAGGTGACCTTGGGCAGGCTACTTTATCTTTCAGTGCTTCAGTTTCCTTGTCTATTACACGTGGACCATGGCGTCTACCATATGAGACTGTTGCCAGGGTTAAATAAGTTAGTACGTATAGAGCACTCTGAGCAGTTCTTGGTAATGGTAAGTGTGTAAAGTGTTAGCTTTGGAATTATTATTCCATTACTTCCATTTTTGCTGCAAGTTGAGGGAAGGAGGTGGGCAGGGCAGCAAAAGCAAAAACAAAAGAGTCAGCACTAGGGAAAAAACCCCAATGAGGGCCGGCCCTGGTGGCCTAGGGGTTACATTTGGCGGGCTCTGCTTTGGTCGCCTGGGCTCGGTTCCCGGACATGGACCTGCACCACTTGTCTGTCAGCGGCCATGCTGCGGTGGCAGCTCACACACAGAGGAACGGATGTTAGCTGTTCCTCAGCAAGATCTTCCTCAGCGGAAAGCAAACAAATCTTCCTCAGCAAAAAACGAACAAACAAACACAGCCAGGGAGTTTATGATTCAATCAATGCATTTTTGCAAAATTATATACCTGTGTATGTATTTATACATAAAAAATGGTTGGTATTTTCTCAAATAAACATGATTTATAAGTATAAGAAGGGAAAAATAAAAGTAATTTTTATACATTAGAAGCGATTAATATATGTTAATATATGTTATATAGCAATTGTAGAAAGAAAGGAGTGTGCCACAAAAATAAAAATTCTGGAACGTATGAGTGAACTGGAAACACCTTAGATCTCCACTTTCAGTAATGACTGGAATTGGGAAGAACGCAATAGGTTAGTAAGGTAGTAGAGTTATTTGATAATTTAAGAGAGGGGGAATATATATATATTTATTCCACTAAAAAATCAAGACCAATCTGAGATTCCTCGTGGGAGTTAGTTGGTGGGGTTCTTTTTAGTTCTGTTCTGTGCAGTCAAATGTGTATTTTTATAAGGACATAGCAAAAGGAAAAGGAAGCTCAATGAGTAAGAGTGAATTTACTCAGCTCAGATCTTGTGATAAATGCTCATGTTATCATAGTCAGACATACATAAATACTACTTATATATTAATACATACATATTATGGTGGGATGTCATGGTTTTGCAAAAATGGGCTTAGGAGACATTTACCTACATTTTGCATTTCTTGTCAGAATTACTCCTGGAATCCTTTCTATGTCAATAGCGCTAATTCTTTATTTTTAATGATTGCATAATGTGCCATGGTGCAAATGCACCATTATTTCTGCAAAGGGGAACATTCCACAAAGTGAGAGTTTTAAAAACGGTTGCTCTTACTGTCCTTGACCAAGTCAGCCAGAAGCTCCTGGCCAAGAGGGCTCCCTGTGCAAATTGATGACCTGATAACAGATGGGACTGATTATTGCCCTGGGATGGCTCTCTTACAAGTGGGAAACTTGTCAAATATTTGGAAATAATAGCTGAAGTCCATAAGAATCATGATTATAAGGATTTGGGAGGTTGCCTGGTTTTGAGAGGTAACTTAAAGAAAAAAAATCCTACTTACTCTTTTTAAAACACAGGTCTTATCTTGTTGTAAAGCTTAAAACTCTTCAAAGCCTTCCACTGCCCTTAGAAGATCTAAATTCCTTAGAACGGCTTATTAGGCGTTTCAAAACCTGTTTAGTTCTCTCCAGCCATATCTCCTTCTTTGCACTCAATTCTTAAACCATTCTGGACTGTGGGAAAATTACCTTGCTAGCTTAATGGTGTCATTTATTTCTGAACTTTTTCATATACTGTTTTTCCTTTGAACTACCCTACTTATTGCTTCCCTAATTTCTGCTCATTTTTTCGTCTCAACTTTGACATCGCCTTCTTTGAAATGCCTTAGCCTGACTTGTTGAGGTCTCCATGCTACGTGCTCCCACAATGTCTACACTATTGTAATGATTTATTCAGTTATACATTTTTCCTAGACTCTTACCTTCCAGTGATAATGTCTGTTGTGTGTTCCCAGCACCTGGCACATAAGAGGTGCTCAATAAAAATTTGTTAAGTGAATGAATGCATAAAAAACAAAGGCTGCTAAGAAGAATGTAAGTAAGACTGATTTGGAAACCTAATTTGGTCCTACAGTGTAGCAGTAAAAATCCCTGAGGAGATGATGTATCCAACGGCTAAGGGACATCTTGGAGTTAATGCTTAGCAATCCATGCTGAAGAAATTTGTTAATCTTTGATGAAATGATTCAGCATTATTTTGTAATTAAAATAACCAATAACTGCAAAGTTTTATAAATATGGTCCAAACAGAAGCCAAAGCATTAATGTCACATTAAAATATTAGTAGAGAACAAAATTCAATACAATTTGTTTTAAATCACTTAAATTATGGAAGTACAAGCATTGTGAAATAAATTATAAGGCAGTCTCCATGATAATACATTTTTTTAAAAAAAAGACCAGACGGTATTATATTGAAATATCATGGTATTTTTTAAATAAATGGTCTTCCTAAATCAATTAGGTAAACAATTCTCTTCTCGTGATTAATAACAATTATTTTTAATAGAGGACATAAGTTCTGAAATATTTCATTACCATGTTATCGAGTTGTTAATAACTATATGTTTTTTAATTTTTAGTACATTTTAGTTCTCTTAAACATAGAATGAATAAAATTTTTTAAAAACAGCTTTACTGATATTTAATTCACATACCATATAATTTATACAAAGTGACAATTTAATTTTTTTTCTTTTTGATGAGGAAGATTGTAGTTGAGCTAACATCTGTGCCAATCTTCCTCTATTTTGTATGTGGGACGCTGCCACAGCATGGCTTAATGAGTGATGTGTATGTCCACACCTTGGATCTGAACTCTTGAACCCTGGGCCACCGAAGCAGAGTGCACAAACTTAACTGCTTCACCACCTGGCCAGCCCCTAATTCAATATTTTTTAATATATTCACAGGGTTGTGTAACCATCATGACAATCTAATTTTAGAACATTTTACTCTCCCCTAAAAGAAACCCTTTCTCTATATGTGGCCGCAGGTCCAGTTGGGTGAGCAGTGTGGGATAGGTTGTGGAGAGACCAAAGAAAAGACCGAGAGTCATCAAACGAGACATACAGGTTATTGGGAGTTACTTCGAGGGAATCCAGTGGCCGCCGACTGGACAGCAATGTGCACCCACTACTGCGGGCGGGGCGGGGGTTTCTTATAGACTCAGGGGATACAAAGGCTATATGCCTGCCAAGAGGCTGTCCTTGGTATGACCAGAGTTCCCAGGAACCAGAGCTCACGTGGAGGGGCTCTGTGTCCCTTCAAGATGTGATGTTCCTGAAGTGAGATAAGGTAGAATCTGGGCTGGCCAGGCCCTGGATTGCTACACATCCTGCCCAGAGGGGAGCCAGAAGGACACAAGGATGCAATGGGCTTGTGGGTTCTTGCTGAGCAAGCAAGGCCCAGGCCCTACACTCCACCCCTAATGTGTCCGAAGGGCCCTCACGATCTTATCACATCATTCTTTCGCAGAGTCCCTGAGCCAGACACACAGAGGAGCATTGTAACCAGATACCACAACACCTCTGGGGTTGTATTAACCTGCTCATGCACAAGCTGGGAGATACACTTTTGAGAGACAGCATAAGAGGGCAAGGACAGGGTACTTGGCGGGAGGGGAGTAGGAATGGGAAAGTGGGTGGTGTTCCTCCACTCTCGAGGGGTTCTCCAGTGAGAGGTGTGGGCAGCTTGGAGAAGCCATGGTAAGCCTGTGGTTGAAGAGAGAGGCAGCTGGCTGCATACCCAGCAGCTGGAGCGGTTTTGTATGCCAGCAACGGTGTGTGCCCAAGCAGCGAAAAGGTTGGCAGACGTTGTCCTAAGGATGAAAGTAAGATGTTTAGAGGGAACTAAAGCAAGAAGGTCATGACTGTCCGACAAGACACATGTGCTTGCTGTGCTATAGGATAAGGGCGGAACAATAACACACCAGAGGGAAAGGATGAATGTACCTTGGGGAACTGGAGGCCCTGGATTAGTAAGTTTGGAGGTTTTGGGTGGCATCCCCACTATGAAGGGTGCTACTGTGATATCCTGTTTTAAGCCTGTTCCCCAAGGGGCTAAGAGACCACATCAGTGGGGCCCCACCTGCCAGTCCCAGGGCCAATTGACCACATGGGTCCTGACAGGAAGTTCTTGTGGCAGAGGAAAAGCAAGTTGTTTTGAGTGCCCATCTGTGGTTGTAGTGTGTCTCCTTGAGTAGCTTTTGCCTATAGCCATATGGTCCTGTCAGGTCCTTGTGTCAACATTTGTTATGCACTGGGTCAAGTGTGTCTTTCATGCTCGTTCAGTTGACATATTGCAATGGTCACACATCTTGTCCAGTGGGCTAGTGTCCTGTCTTCTGTCCTCAGCTATTGTTTGAGTAGGCCATTCATTCATTCCACCAGCCCTGCAGCCGTAGGGTTGTAGGGCAGGTGAAAGTGCCAAGTACGTCCATTCGATCAGCCAATGTCTGTACCTGCAGTCTAGAAAAATGCATACCTTGGTCACTGTCAATGTGACAGGCACATCATACACAGCACAGAGGTGTTCCAGGCCTCTTATGGTTGTCCTTTGTGTTGCCTTGTGCTGGGGTACGCCTGCAGGAGTCCTGTGTACATGTCCACACAAGTAAGGGCATATTGGCAGCCATTAGAAAGAGGCAAGGGCCCAATGTAGTCCACCTGCCAGCATCGAGCAGGCTGGTTGCCTCTGGTGATTTGGCCTGTGTCCCGGTGAATGGCCTGGGGTCTCTGCAAGGAACAAGAAGGGCACACCTGTAAGTATCAGCATAGTGCAGGGGGAGGCCTCAGGCCTTGGCAATAGCCCATAGGGTCCTTTGCCCTTTGTGTCCAGTCTTCTTGTGTAGCCATACTGGCACTCTCTCAGCTAGAACTTCCTCAAGGAGATGAGTCGGAGCTAACTCGTCTGCTTGTTGGTTCCCTGGTGGTGTTGTCGCCTGTTGTTTAGACAATGGTGCATTGTTACTGTCTTTCCCAGGATCCATTGCCAGATATCATCCCAGAGCTCTGCCCCCGACAACAGGCGACTGTTAACAGTCCACTTTTGTTGCGCCCACTGGGCCATCCACAGGGTGAGCCCCTTATAGGCTGCCCACCTGTCCGTGCACAGACATATTGGATCGGGCTTACAAGTCAGCACCATCCAGGTGGCCCACAGTTCAGCCCACTGACTACTGTACCCAGACCTAGAGTCCAACCACATGGTGTCAGTCGAAGGCTGGATGGCCACTCTGTCCATGGCAGTGAGGGGGTCTCCTCTTGTGGAGCCATCCGTATACCAGGCCTCTGCCGGGATTGGTCCTTCTCCTTGCTATATACTTGGCAGGGTTTCAGGCATGGGCACCTCATCTAATGGGGTTGTTTCCTCTGTAGTATATGTTACTGGTCCCAGGGTGACATGCAATTCTGCACTTAGGGGACTCCTAGTGGGGGTCCCTCGTTGTTGTAAGTGTGCATGCAATTTTGCCAATATTTGTGTTTGGGCTGTTCCTGAGTGGGGCTTTTGGAAAGTGTCCTGTAGCCACTCCACAATGGGCGGATGAGTACGGACTGTGACTGGCAGGGAACGAGTTATGGGTTCCACCTGCTGGAGGGCCAGACAAGCAGCACACAATTGTTCAGGGCGCTATACTGATTTTCAGCCCCTTTCCATAATTGGGCCCAGAAACCAAGAGGGGTTTGTTTATTGCCTTGCCTCTGCCAGAGGCCCCATACCGATCCCTCTGGGTAACTGGAAACGTCCAATTCACAAGGTTGTTCTTGTATTAAAACTCCCAAGGACTGGATTTGTTTTAATGCGACTTTGGCTTGGGCGCAGGCCTCCTGCTTGGTGGACCCCAGGCCCAGATAACACTCTTTCGCACCAACTTATAAAGAGGACAGACAGCCTGTATCTTATCTATGACAGCAGCAGGAACCACTTTTGTCTTACCCAACCAGACAACACCCAAGTAATTGATAGACAACTTAGACCCTTGCACTTTGTTGTCATTCACTGTGACAAGGGAGCGGAGCCTTCCTGGAGGTCTGAAAAACACTCAGAGGTTAACATGACATCATCAATATAGTGAAACAAGGCAACACCGGGGGTTTTGTCCAGTGGGCAGCGCTATAGAGGTGTTGCTGCAGGGTGGGAGGAGAAGTGACAGAAGCCGTTTTGCTCATTTTCATCCCTGACAGCAAAATGTGTTCTGTTCCAGTATCCCAGAGATGCAAAAGCCACCCCAGGATGTTTTCCCTCCCCTTCTGCCTGAATTAGTTTCCCAGTTCTACCAACTTGGTAGTCCCACATAGCAGAGTGCGTGTGCCAAACCGGTGGGGGCAAGTCTGTTGGAGTGACCTGGGGGCTGAGGTTGGCCAGATTTCATTTTCTGCGTCACAACCGGTGCACTGCTAGGACAGGTACTTCTGTTGGGTCATCCCATCCTGCAGCATCCTTGCTTTCTTTTTCTTTTTTTTTTTTAAAGATTGGCACCTGAGCTAACAACTGTTGCCAGTCTTCTTTTTTGTTTTTTTCTGCTTTTCCTCCCCAAATCCCCCCAGTACATAGTTGTGTATTTCAGTTGTGGGTCCTTCTAGTTGTGGCGTATGGGAGGCTGCCTCAGCATGGTCTGACCAGCGGTGCCGTGTCAATGCCCAGGATCCCAACCTGCAAAACCCTGGGCCACTGAAGTGGAGTGCGCGAACTTAACCACTCCGCCACCGGGCCAGCCCCCTCACTTTCCTCAGTACTAGATTCACATGGGTCCCAGTGCTTTGAGTTCCATTCTTGTTGGGTCACAAGGGCCTGCACCTTTGCCCGTGGTAGTTGTCACTCCTTGACCTGAGCAAAACGACAGGCTAGGGTCTCTATTTTCTCATCAGACTCTCATAGGCCTGTCACAGCACCTTGGTTGTCTCGGCTTGAACCAGTCAAGCCTCTCTTTCTAACTTCAATTTCTCTTGTAGCTGCCTCACGTTGGCTCTTGTGTCCATCTTGGCTTCTGTTGCCAGGCTTACCACAGTGAGGAGGGGCCACCCTATGACGTAGCAATGGCCTGAGCCTCTGAGTTTTTCTTTTCTACATTTCTCAAGCCCAGGACTTCCCCTAGGCCCTTTGGCGTTTTCGGGGCATCCCCATACTCACGCAGTGGGCCCCATCCATCCAGGATGATGGTGAGTGGCCCCCTCAGGGAGGATGTCGGTCAACTGGGGATTTCCACCCACAGATTTCCCCTTCCCATCCCCCATAGTCTCGGCACTCACAGGGGTTTCTTTGGCCTCCTGCCTGGCTCACCAAGTGTCTGGCCACAGGCCCAGCTGGGTGAGCAGTGCCTGATAAGTTATGGAGAGACCAAAGAAAAGACCCAGAGTCATCGAACGAGACATATAGGTTTATTGGGAGTTACTTACAGGGAGGTCCAGTGGCGGCCAGCTGGACAGCAACGTGCACCTGCAATCGTGGGCGGGGAGGGGGTTTCTTAGAGAGGCAGGGGACACAAAGGCTATATGCCTGCCAAGAGGCTCTCCCTGGTACGACCAGAGTTCCCAGGAACGGGAGCTCACGTGGAGGGGCTCTGTGTCCCTTCAAGATGTGATGTTCCTGAAGTGAGATAAGGTAGAATCTGGACTGGCCAGGCCCTGGGTTACTGGCATCCCAGCAGCTGGGCGTCCTGCCCAGAAGGGATCCAGAAGGACACAAGGTTGCAATGGGCTTGTGGGCTTTTGCCGAGCAAGCAAGGCTCAGGCCTTATAACCTATTGCTTGTCACTCTCCATTCACTTCCCTTTTTTCTTCAGCCACTACCATTTCGGCTACTACTCATCTACTTTGTGTCTCCATAGATTTGCCTATTCTGGACATTTCACATAAATGGAATTGTACTATATGTTGCTTTTTGTGTCTGGCAAGGTATTTCTTTCACTTAGCGAACTGTTTTTGTAAAGTTTATTCGTACTGTAGTATATATCAGTATTTCATTCTTTTTTGTCTCCAAATAATACTCCATGGTTTGGTACACCACATTTTATTTATCCATTAATCAGTTGTTGGACTGAATAAACTTTTAATCTTAGCTTTTCTTTTCCCTCCCCAAACACCCAGTACATGGTTGCATATCCTAGTTGTAAGTTGTTCTCTTTCTTCTACGTGAGCCGCCAGCACAGCGTGGCAACTGACAGACAGGTGGTGTGGTTCCACAACCGGGAAGCAAACCCAGGCCCCCAAAGCAGTGAGTGCTGAACTTTAACCTCTAGGCCATCAGGGTTAGCTCCTGAATAAACTTTTGAAAGCATGTTTGAGTAAATTTCCCTAATCCTCAGCTACCAAAGAGTTTACTGTGGGAGCAGACTTAGCTGTAACATAAAATTAAAATGAAATCAATTGATTCCCCAAATGCTCTCTGGTCTGGGTTGGTTCAAAAGAGTTTTTGTAATAAAAATTTCTAAGAAGAATATTTTCTCTATGAGACCGAGCATTCTGTGTTTCCAAAATATGTCATTTTACCTCACAGGTTGACGTGAGGATTAAGTGATTTAATACCATGAGCTGTTTGTAAGGATTTGGGCTCGGATTAGAGGCTGGAGTGGTCCTGTCCCTCCAGCTGTTTCAAGCTGGCCCCCACTCCTATTGTACCTGCACTGAGTCCCGCCCTCCCTTGAGTCCTCCTTAGTTTTGTGTTCCTCGAGTGCACTCTAGATCTCACATCTTTTATGCTCAGCCAAATCTGCCTTCTCCATCCAACACCACGGCTGATTGACCCTGCTAGAGAGCTTCCATGTCATGCTGCTTGGTGCCTCCAGAAATGTTTTATCTTCAATCTTACTAGGAGGATCGGTGCCAATGGAAAATCCTTTTGCAGTCTTTGGCCAGTTTTCTTTTTCCTTCCTGTTTTCTTTGGCAACTCCTTCAAACACATTAAGCCATCTTCAAATGCTCTAATTCCCGTATGAATCACAATGAATCACACTCAGCAGAGGACCTCACTATCGGGAAAATTTTACTGATTAAGGCAGAATTTACCTACCACTTTATCTACATTTGAATCTACTCTTGAATTTCTGTGTTCTTAGTCTGTGCTCTTGATTTCTATCTCTTTAAGGATCTTGTTCCTTCTCTTGTCTATCTCTTCATCACTTTCCTATCTATTCGTTCCATTAAGAAGTGTACATGGATTCTCTTTCTTTTTCTCCTGCTCACTCTTCAAACCACTGAGTTTAGGGATCATTTCTCCAAAAGCCATACATAACCTACCTTCATATCCCTCCCTTTTTTCAGTCTCCTCACTCCTCCCCAGGTTGGGCACAGAGCAGCCAGTCTGTGGTTCCATAACTCTTATCTGTGTATTTCCCCACCAAACTCTAGGGCATGGATCTCTGGAGACAGGGGTTTTGTCTTGTTCATCTTTGAATCTACAGAGATTTCATTCTTTCTTGGCACGTGGTTGCTGAGTGGAACCTGGGGCTGTGGAGGGGAAGTTGTCAAATCAGAAGAGATACTTAGCCTTCCTTAGATTAAATCTGTATGGTAAAATGTTATTAATACAAAAATTTTGGAAATTATATGCTGTATGGGAAATTCCTAGAGAACTTTCAGTGCCCTTGCTGTCCATGATGTTTCTGTTTACCAGAGTTCTGGTGCTGCTTTGCTTGATATTGGACAACAACAGTATAGCTTTATCGGTCAGAAATTCAGTTGTTTGAAAAAATATTGGTCACCAACAGACACATGAAAATATGTTCAACATCACTAATTATTAGGGAATGCAAATCAAAAGTACAATGAGATGTCACCTCACACCCATCAGAATGGCTATAATTAACAAGACAAGAAATAACAAGTATTGGAGAGGATGAGGAGGGAAGGGAATTCTCATTCACTGCTGGTGGGAGTGCAAACTGCTGCAGCCACTATGGAAAACAGTATGGAGAGTCCTCAAAAAGTTAAAAATAGAACTACCATATGATCCAGCTGTTCCACTTCTGGGTATTCATCCAAAGAACATGAAAACATAAATGCGTAAAGATATATGCATCCCTATGTTCATTGCAGCGTTATTCACAATAGCCAAGATTTGGAAACAACCTAGGTGCCCATTAAGGGACAAAGGAATAAAGATGTGGTATTTATACACAATGGAATACTACTCAGCTATAAAAAAGGATGAAGTCTTGCCATGTGTGACAACGTGGATGGACCTTGAGGGTGTTATGCTAAGGGAAATAAGTCAGAAGGAGAAAGTCAAATACTGTATGATTTCACTCATAAGTGGAAGATAAAAACAACAATAAACGAACAAACACACAGATACAGAGATTAGATTGGTGGTTACCAGAGGGGAAGGGGGGAGGTGGGAAGCGGAAGGGGCGATAGGGCATGTATGTGGGGATGGATGGTAATTAGTCTTTGGGTGGTGAACATGATGTAGTCTACACAGAAACAGAAATATAATGTTGTACATCTTAAGTTTATATAATGTTATAAACCAGAGTTACTTCAATAAAAATAAAGTAGAAAAGAAAAAAATGTAAACCAATAAAACAAAAACCAAAAAAACCCCAAAATCAAACAAAAATATTGGCCACAACTTTACTTCTTCAATTTGAATCTAGCATCTTCTAGGAGAGTGATTTCCACGTCACTTGCCTATGGAGTTTTATGAATATACAAGTGTTTAGGACCTACTTCAGACTTATAGAATTGTTTTACTTGATATTCTTGACATATTCTTGTTATATTCTAATTATATGCTTGGTGTATTCATGGTATATTGTGTCTCAGGATTGTTATATATTATACCCAAAGTTTTCTTTGTAAAGATTATGTTCAGCCATTTTAATACATTAGACGTACTAGCCATTCTTCTTTGTAAATATTATATTTATAGATATTTTGTCTAAAACTTATTTTTGGATTAACTTTAGAATCTTGTTTTGCATGCCACAGAAACAACCAAATTTCGTTGTCAGTTGCACTATTCTTGTTAAGAGCTCTTATGAGGTCTTTCACTTTGTAAAATTATTAGTGATAATTTAACCACAGTCATTTTACATCTATAGAGAATTTTTTGTTTTTCTCTAATGCTTCCCTGAAAGCTCTTACAGTCAGCTATGGGCCAGAATATTTCGTCAACAAAGGACTGTCTCAGTGCAAAAAGATGATGCCAGCTATTTAGGGGTACATGCTTCTGATGGCATTGCTTCAACGACTTTGAGACCATATCAATGAACTGAGTCAGGATCTCCAGAACTTTAGTCAAGAAGCAGATGGGTCCAAGAAACTGCTAATCCAAGAGTGAGCAGTACAAGAGTTAATTACATAGCACTGAATGAACTAATGAGAGATAATTGTGGGTTTTGTTTGGAATATTATTGATGTTTTAATGTTCTATTTTTTGGATATATAAGAAACTACTTTCTCTTTTCTCCTAAGCTATCTATAATGTAACAATTTAGTAGATTCTGCTTTTTTAAAACAGCAATAAAATATTTGTAAATGATCTTTTTCTCTTTGTCTGGCCTCTCTAGAATTTGTAAAACCCTTATTGCAACATAGTTATTTGCATTCTTATTTTAATAGTAACATAGTTATTTGCATAGGTTCAGAAAGAATCTGTCTTCCTAGTTACAAGGACATAATTGGAAGCATTGGTTATGCAACTGAGACCTTGCCTAGAAAATCATGTTTGAGAATGAGGTTCATTTAATCTGTATGACCAGGTCCTTTTTTTTAATTTTATTTTTTTTGCTGAGGAAGATTTGCCCTGGGCTAACCTCTGTTGCCAATCTTCCTCTTTTTGCATGTGAGCTGCTGCCACAGCATGGCCACTGACAGATGAGTGTTTTAGGTCCACACCCAGGGACTGAACCTGGGCTGCCAAAGTGGAGTGTGCTGAACTTAACCACTAGGCCACCAGGGCTGGCTCAACAAGGCACTTTTAAGGAACTAAGATTGACTTTATGAAGCAATGCCCACATAGCTCTCTTGGGAAAACTAACCTGGCACCTGGTTTACAGAGCTCCCTGACTTATGGGTGAGTAAGGAAGATTACTTCCTGGCAAGCCCAGGAAACTTAGGGTATTTTGGGGATCTTGAGAAAAGAAGCATCACCCGAAATTTATAGCTACTGCAGGTGAAATCTAATATCAGTTTCTTGGCTTGGCTTCTTTGCCTCAGGAGGCCTTTAAGAGTCTAATCTGAGATTTCTTATCAACACTTCCAGCCAAGTAAATTTAAGAAGGCCTAGACAGTAAATCACATTTTCACCACACGTTATGTAAATAATCGGGTAAATCTAATTATATCAGTTTTATTTTGTGATCAAGAATAATCTTTCTTTGTGATTATTTTTGATCAACAGGTGAGTGACTGTAGAGAGAAATTTTGTGTTTCATGGAAAACCACAGCATTTATAGCACACCCTTCCCAGTTATCAGATTCAAGCCTGGTTTGTGGTCTTTGAGCTCCTTTGCATACCTCTTGGTAAATTACAGAT